GAGGGAGGCGGGGTGGGTGGTGGAGGGGCCACCGGTCACAGGCGCCCAGCCAGGGGGGACAGACGATGATGGGGGACAGTGGAAGGGAACACGTCAGATGCAGTAAGGCGGATCCGGGTGAGAAGAGAGAGCGGCGCATAACCCCAAGTCCCAAACCCAAAATGGGAACAAGGAGAGGCACGGGCAGAGTAGAGAAGTGGTGTCGTTGCCAATGTCACCCACAACCCCATGCTCTACACAATGCCCTTCCAGGCGGACACAAACCTCCCTTTTCCCCCACCCAAGCCCACCTACTAAGGGGGCCATGGAGCCCAGGGCTTGAGGGAGAAAGGCAGTTCACAAGCAAGGTCCCCAATAGAGAGTGCAGGCCTCTGGGATGGAGGAGCTGCTCCCAACACAGTAAGGCCAGCATGCCAGAGAGGACACTGGGGTTCACAAATGCTCTGTGCCCATCCATCTCCAAAGGAGATTCTGGGGCCCTCCAAGAGTCGAAGAGCGTCCAAGAGAGTAGACAGACTCAGTGCCCACCTGTGTTCATGCCCCAAGGATCAGCTGAGAACAAGGATACTTCTCACTTACCAGGGTCCCAGAGGGCTGAAGAGGAGTGGGGAGAGGAAAAGCCTGGGCTGGCACTCACCGAAGATGAGCGGCTGAATGTCCGACTGCGCCGCCTCCGCCGTCTGTGCTTCCTCCGGCTGCTGCGCTGGCTGCGGTAACTGCTGTTCTCCCGGTGATATTCGTAGGAATGCCGGTAGTCTGTGTCATAGTAGCCATCTCCCCGATCCCGGCTATAGTCATTGCGTCTGTAGCTGCCACAGTATCGCCGGTCATATGCTCTCCGGTCAGAGGAACGGTCATCATAGCTGCTGTTGGTTAATAAACACCCATTTGGTGCACCTGTTCAGGCCATATTACTTGCCACACCATATGACAAGTACTTCCCTCAGTGAGGACCAAGAGTACTGTTGGAAAAATGGCTCTCAGACACTCATCAAATCTCTGAGAGGACTGAGGACCAGAGAACTGAAGTAACTAAGTGCAGAGGAAGACTCAGCACCTGGATGTCGCCAAGACCTCTGAAAAGACATCTTCTGGGGGCCATCTCCTCCCTTCCAATGATTTAATGGAACAAACAGCCATGTCTTTTTCAAGGCTTTCCTGACATCCAACTTTACTCCAAACTATCCCTAACCCATCCCTCCTGCTGAATGTGACGCTAAGTTATTAAAACCATGCAAACCTAACTCTGTCTTATCTATCAGCTCAATAGCAACTTCCCTTGTCTTTTGCATTTGCTTTCCCCAGCCTGGGATACTTCACCCTTATATTTCAGATGAGCTTAGATGTCACACTCTGTGGGACATTTTCCATGAACTACACATCCTGTCTCACTCCAACCAAACCTTCTAGGTGCTTCCTTAGCCCTTTACTGCCTACTTCCTCTGTGATAACATTCTTCACATCACAATGCAAATGCCTTATTTTGTCATCCATCGTGAGTATCACATTCACCCAGGTGCTTAGCATATAACCAATAAATCTTNTGCCAAAGGTTCCCTCTCCCAAGGTGCTTACAATTTCATCTGAAATGAAAAAAAGCAGGGTCGGGGAGAGGGAGGGAGAGAAGATGGGGAATGAGCTGAGTTGGAAGGAAAAAGGGTACAGCAATCTGGGGTGAAATGAAGGATGGGGAACAGATACAGATGGTCACAGGGGAAGAAAACCCCTGTGTGATTCCCACCACCTTTAACCCAGGGGCCATGAGAGCTGGGAGTGGACAGCAGAGGTCAATTCTCAACAGCAACTCAAACCACCCAGATAAACAACACCACTGAGAAAAGGCAAAAGAGACTGTGACTTGGGTTGGCTCGGGACGTTAGAATGGCTATGGGACCATTACAGGCTATAGGATTGTTACGATTTGGCTTGTACATCGCTCTTGTAGCCAGTCCCCGACGTGGTAGATGAGGTGGCCCTCAGCGTCGTCCTCTACACTCTTGGCTCTCCGGCTGCTGTGGTGTTGTTT